TGCTTGATTTCTGCACTGGAATTTCCCTTCAAAGCACTTTTCCTGACTACAACTAAAAGCAAATGTCATGTCTGGAAACCAGCTCTGAACTCAAGCCAAGGGCAGGCAAAAGTACAATTATTGTTTTTTATTGAAATTAGCAAGCATAGTCTTGTTATGACTAAATAGAACCAGGTTCAGAAAATGTAGAAAAAACCATAGTGCATTTTAGGCTATGATATCATATCAAGTAAAAGTATCCTTTTTATCCTTTTAAATATTAAAATGACAAATATGGAAGTTGTGGGTAGTTTTTATAAGTTTTACTTTCATGTATTTCATTTAGGAACTGCCTTTCTTAAACACAAATTGTAAAGATAAACTAATTTCATAATTTGAAATTGTGATTTTTAAATATCATAAGTTCTCTTCTTTTTGTTATCTTTCTTAAATCATTAGAAAATATACAAATGAAAATGTTTTTTCTCTTAGTCCCAGAGAATATTTATGCCCTTCAGAGGCAATCCCGTTACTCAACTTCCCTTGGAGTTTTTTCTTAACTTAAATATATGTCCACATCAAAGAAAGGGTACAGTTTTAAACATGTGAACAATTCTTTGTTAATTTTTTTATTCTTCAAATAATTCAGAAATAGAACTCGAAAAGTTTATATTTTTCCACAGCTATTGCTGTGAACTTTGAGTAACAACAAATGTGTCTGTGTGATGCGTGGTTTGTTTTTTTTAATACTGTAATGCAATTTCTTTAGCATTTCCCAAATGTGGCAGCAGCCTCCAGTCTTTACCTGCTGCAGCACTGTGAGTGCAGAAAGGCCTCCTGCTCGGAATGTTTGATGTTTCAACTGAAGGACCTGAAATGTGGGGAACCAAAGTTCTAAAGCAAGAGCACAACTGTTCCCATTTGATTTAAAGTTATGGTACTCTGTGAGACCACGTAAATGGTGTTAACTCCAGGAATAACACAAGGATTCTGTTATCAACTTTAATAACAGCAGTTCCCTCTGTGGTACTCATTTACCTGAGATTCATTTTCCATTCATTTATAATTTCTTTTTCTCTCTGTAATGGTATTTTTAAAAGAAGCAACATATTTAGCGTTTTATTAAATTAAGATTTTGGTACTTAAAGTTTATTTTAGTGAGATAATTACTATATCATGTTTATACTTGTGTGAAAGTTGTTTATGTCATTGGAAACAGTAAGATTCTAAAATATTTTCTATGATTTTGAGTATGCAGCTGTTCAAATAATATTTTTAGAAAAACTGTATTATCCTTAGGCTAGTTTAATGTTTAATAAATTAGTCAAAATGGGTCACATTTTGATGAAAGTATAGTAGTTACTACAGATGTGATTTAAATTACTCAACCCAATGATTTAAAATCCCTTGAAGATGAGTTTAAAAACAAGATAAGAAAAAGTTTAAGATAATTTAAAGAAAAAAAGAATTTAACCTAGTTTCTTTTCAAATTCTATGCATGACTTTATTTTAAAATAAAATAATTAAAATGAGGCCAGATGACAGCTTCTAAACAAAACATCTACTGTGCATCCCCCACATGTTTGCTTTTTAGTTAACCACTTGATATCATTAACCACTATAACAGTTATAATTAAGACTACCTCATAACAGAAATCTGGTCTTTGCTTATATATCAGTATACTTTTGAATATAGAAATTCAAAAGAAATTTCAACGAGCCTCAATAAAATTAGAGAATGACTGTTCTTTTCCAACAAAATAGCATATGCCTTGGCTGGCTAAGTTTACAGAGTGTGCTGCATCGGACTGGGGGCGGTGTGGAAGGCTGGGCTTCCTTCTTGCCCATCAGTAACTCACCTGAAGTTACACAGGCTGTGTGGCCTATTTTGCCTTCCTTTGATAAAGTTCTGTGATTCCATGATCTGATGTGGGAAGAAAATCTTGAAATAAGATGGCACTGAGAAGGCATTCATGCACGCTAGGGAGAGATGCCTACCTCTTTCAGGTTGGAATATCCACACACCTGTGATAGAGCCTGTGTTCTTTGTCTACTCCACTTGGTCTGGGATAATTAATACATGAGAGTGGGGGAGAAAGGAAGGAAAAGGAAAGGAAGATGGGAGAGAGAGAAGCCTTGCTTTGTAACTCTTTTGGGTGTTAATAATTTGCATTTGGCTCTGCTTCTAATGTCTGGAATCCTCCCACTCCCCCATCCCGCTACTGTCACCATAATTCAAGCTACCCTCACCTCTTATCTGAACTACCGTAGTATCCTCCTAAGTGACCACTCCAAATCTGCCCTTGGCCCTTCTCAGGTCTAAAAGTCATCTCCACCCAGCAGACCTGAGTAGTTCTCTTTAATACCTGTATCAGGCCACTTATCTGAGAAAAGCCACCAAGATTTTATCATCAAACTTGGAATGAAACTTAAACTCCTATCTTGTCTCCAGCCTGTTTTTCCAAACTTAACTCGAATGGAGTTAAGTTTCACCTCACTCACTGTGTCTCCGCCAGAATGCCGTTCCTTTTCGTTCCTCAAACCTGCCTTCCTTGTTTCCACATTAGGACTTCACGCGCACCCCTCTCTGCTGGCCCTCCCTCACAGATTTTCACGTGGTGTTCCCTCTCTCTCTCTGTGTATTTTTTACCCAGCACTTGCTTCATGAAAGTTTTGACCTTTGATCATCTGCCTTTCCCTACTAGAACATTAGTGCTATGAGAACAGGGTCTATTTTGTTCGTTGCTATAACTGCCTGATACATTCAGCCATTCAGAACTTTTGAGGACAAGTGACTGTAGTTAAACTTTCGGAAATGATGTGAGTAGGAATCATTTTATCATAGGCATAGTGTTGGGCTCTCACTTCATTGTTTTTAGTGACTAGGTTATATGAGATCATACAAGCCTACACTTAGCATAAACGCGATCCCTTTCACAGTGGGTTATTAAAGCAGGTTTGGAATTAAGTATCGGTACCAGTTAGCAGTTGGTTCTACATTCCGTTCATGGATAGAAATACAATGTTGATTCCAATTAATATCAATATTCCTGTACTGCCAAGGCCATCTGACAGGTTTGTACTTGGGAGTAAAAAACGAGTAATTATATTTATTAAAGACATTTAATGCCAAATTTCTAATCTGTTTTATTTTTTGTGCTTTGTCTAATTTTGACAGTGAAATCTAAATAACTATTTTGCAATTCTTTCAATCCTTATATTGGCAACTTTACGTTGGGAATAATTTCCAGCAAGAAAATTGCTTTCATGTATTTTATAATGCCCAATTACATTGACATTTATTTCGTTTTACAGATTTATGAAAGTGGTTTTTTGAGATAAAGCTTATTAGATTATTTCACCATGATAAGTGTTGCTTATTTTGGTGAATATAAATGAATGAAATTGAATTATTTTAAACATATGAAGTAATTATTTGTAAACAGTAGTTTTTCACATTTGGTTTGTGTTTAAATGAATTTACCTGTTGAAAAAAAGTCATATATGTATTACTTTAGAAGTCCAAATCCAAAAATAAATATTCTTCAAGGCACAAAGTTCTTGGAAAGTACCTCATTAAGAAAATCTTATAATTCCCTGATCACTGTAAGTAAGGGATTTGAATCTTCACATGGCATCTGTTTGGGGTTACAGGAAGGTTATGCATAAGTCTAACCAATGTTTGTAAAGTGATTTAGTCTGACCCATACAGGACCAGAAACCCTCTCGAAATGTGCCCTTATGAAAGGTAAGGTGGCAAAAGAGATGATACTTAAACGGGCTAAAGGAAGTGGGTTGATGGAAAATAAAGAACTCTGTGACTCATGGTAATATAAGAATCAGGGTATTCTAGGTATCCCAACGTCTTAGCTTGAGCTGAGATACGCTCAGAGCACTAGTAGAGCAGAGTCTCTGCCAAATTGACAGATAGATGCTGCTAATGTGCTGTCTGCCAGGTCAAGACAGGCCTAGGAGCTAGGGGAGGACTACGCCCACAGGTGCAGAATGTAGACCTAGAAGAGGTGAGACGGTGGTTAACGGCAGGGATTGCCTGAACTCATTAGAACGGAGATGGGAGCTAGAAATAAAAGCATCATCTCACTCATTAAACACTTTTGTAATCTGGTTGATAATTTGTCTTTTACAGTTATGTAATTTGCTTTTTAAAAGATAAGGTTGTACCTTAAACTTTGTTAATTACTACCACTTAATTACTCTGTTAAGTATAGACTTCACATAGATAGCCACATATCACTAGACCAAATCTATTCAAATTGTAGGGGATAGGTCTTTGAATTTTTTAAAGTTATTATTTTTCTTCAAGGGGGAAGATTAAACCAAGCCATATTTAGAAAATAAAGTCAGACATGGAGCACATAGTTATGAGTGCAAGCAGTTGAAAAGGGAAAAGTCATTTTGGTTGAAAGGCAGGTGTTGAATATCTGCTAAAGGGAAGCGCAGTATTTGGAGGCTGCACCCAGCGCACACACTTGCACGGGGAAGCGAGGAGCAGGTTTCACAGCCACCTCCTCCTCTGGCCTTGCCACAAATCCCTGTCCTCTTGGAAAAGTCATTTCATATCTGTGCACCTCAGACTTTCCTAATATAAAATGAAAGGATTGGGGTAGATTTTCTCTTAAGATACCTTCCTGCTCTAAATTTCCAAAATTCAATGAAAATGAAAGCCTGGTTCATAGCCATAAATGTATACCAGGAGATTTAGATGACAGCCTAGCCAGAGCCTACATTATACTTGATTTCTTCAGTAACATTGAGGCAACGGGAAAATATGATGCACTCCTCATGGGACTCATGATAGTAGTGACTCTCACGATTAAATGACACTAATTTTTAATTCCATTCACTGTCCTAGCTGTTACTTGTATGTGCTCTTTAATGCCATCATTTTCCTTCATGAAGTAATACGTACTTAGGCTTCACTCCTGAAATACAAAAGTCTTTCTAGTCCTTATTATAAATGTGCAAATGCTATGCTGACCAGTCATATTGTTGTGTTCTAGAGACCGTGTAATTGGTTTGATGATGACTGCCTGTGATCTTTGTTCTGTGACAAAACTGTGGCCTGTTACAAAATTGACGGCAAATGATATATATGCAGAATTCTGGGCTGAGGTACGTCCTTGATTCTTTTATTAACATAGATAAGAGAAATTAAATGTATGGATGCTAAGAATACCTTAGTTGTTCATGTTGATAGTTATTTTAGAAAACTGTCGTGAATCATATACTGAAGGATTTAGCAGTTATGCAGATACAAAGAGAGAATGATCATTCTTTTACACGTTACTTGCATATGTGTCTAATTCTCTGAGCTTATTCACCGAACAATAGTGTGACAGCTATCTTACTTAACAACTGATCTTTTGTTCATTCAGTAGGCATTACCGGCCATCTACTTTAGATAGGCACTGGACAAAGTACTCAGAGGATCCCATAATATGGGATATATCCACCTGCAGTTAAATATTCAGGGGAATAATTGTTTTGCACCATAGACATTGAGAATATGTAAATATAATCAATGGTCACCTCACCTGTAAACTATGAGTTCCTCAGAATGTATGGAATGTTAATTCATAATACTCCTGAAACAAGACATAAATGACTTACATTAACACATTTTCTTGACTGAATTATGCAATTTATCAGTAATGTGCATTGTACTGCTCAATTTGCTTATTGAATTGTATGTAAGTAAGTAGAATATAATTCTCCTATCCATTTGAGTCACAAATACCTAGGTCTTTGCATATTCAAAAATTACTTTGTGAAAAAAACTATAACTCTTTTGAGTACCTCTTCTGGTTTGATGAAATAAAAGTAAATTTGGAGGACAAAGCAGCTGGAGATTCAATCATCTGTCTCACTCATACGGAAGAATGTATGTAGAACATAAACAGCAAATCATCCACAAGTTTAGCAGGAAGAGTTTATCATGTTGATTTACTTCATAATGGTAAAGCCAAAGTATTTTTTACTGAAGGAAGATCACAGGCCTTGAGTTGATGATACTGCTGGCATGATTTCTCCCAGAATGCCTTGCACATCATGTATGCATGGTTTCGCATGAGCTTTCTCTTTATTTTATTGTGTATGTGTCAGAACCTAGTTACCGTCAGACTCGTAGGAAGAGTGATGTAGATGTACAGTTGACCCTTGAACAGCACAGGCTTGAGTTGTGTGCATCCACTTCTATGCAGATACTTTTCCGTAAATACATTGGAAGATTTTTTGGAGATTTGTGACAAAAATACAGAACAAAATGGCCTAGAAATATTGAAAAAATTTAATTTAGGTATGCCATAAATGTATACAGTATGTGTAGATACTAGTCTGTTTTGTCATTTACTACCATAAAATACACACAAATATAAGATAAGTTAAAGTTTATCAAAACTTATGTACACACTATTATAGACTGTGGCGAGAAATGGAAACAAACATAAAGATGTCATATTAAATTGTAACTGCATGAAATTAACTGTAGTACATACGGCACTACTGTAGTACTTTTGCAGCAACTTCCTTTTGCTATTGTGGTGAACTCAAGTGTTCCAAGTATCCACTTAAAATGCTGTGCTTGAGACACTCTGTGACACTAATAATCTCTGAGCAGTTGTTTCTCCAGTAAATCATTTACTACAGTAAAAAGTGATCTCTTGTGGTTCTTGCATATTTTTCATTGTGTTAGTGCAATACAGTATAACACCATGGCACCTGTATAGAGTTATGCTAGGATGCTGGAAGAGGTCTCAAGAAGCAAAGTCATGACACGATAAGAAAACGTTGAGTTGTTTGATACATTCCCCCAGATTGAAGTCTGCAGCTGTGGTTGCTGACATATTAACTTAAATAAATCCCATGTAAGGATCATTTTAAAAAAGAAAAGGAAATTCATGAAGCCATCTCTCCAGCAATGCCAGCAGGAGCAAAAACCTTGCACTGTTTGTGAAATAACTTTTTATCTCATACTAAAAATGCACCTTTTGTTTAGGTACAGGATTGCTATGAGAAAGGCATAACTATAGATTCTAACATGATTTCTATATTCTAGATGAATGTGGAAAATGTGCAGTTGTTAAAGGACAACTTAAAGCAACAGGAAGGTGCAGGATTAAAAGCTGGAGATTTTAATGCCAAAATGTGACCAATATGTAACGGAGATTTTTTCCCTTTCTATTATTCACTGGTTATTCAGTCCACAGACGTTGATTTGGCTCCGTGCGTGCTCTCAGGTGCAGTCTTCACTGACCTCACCATAGTCCATAGGAAGAAGCAGAAATATATTTACCAAGTCCCGACAGTTGATCCCAGTATCTATAAAGTCCTGCCTTTTCTCTCTATCCTCATGATCATCACCAAATCATACCTGGGGTACTATAGCTTTCTAACTGAATTCCGCACCTTTACCTTTTAGAATTTGTGCAAAAATAACGAATAATGTGGTCTTTGGTGCCAGTTTGCTTGAGATTAAAAGTCTGCTTTGGCACTTGGTATTTAACCTCAGGCCAGTTTATCAGATAGGGATGACGATAATTCAGATTCCATCAGTACCCTGCCTCAGGTCCTCTGCTGTAATGCAGACCGAAATCGACCTCCGTGTGGACAGCCCATGTGGCCGGCCCCTGCCCACTGCCTGTGCAGGCATATTTCCTGTCTCTGCCCCTTGCTGTCATGTAGGTCTTTGTTCCCCACAGCCGCTGCCTGGACCGCGTTCCTGCCCTCTGCATTCTGTTACAGCCTCAGATTGGCTCAGCCCTCCGTTATAGGCATGGTCTATCGCACTGGGTTCTTTTTCATTTTAGCATTTTTGTTTCGAGCACATATTCAAATCTGTTTGTTTAAAAAACTGTCTTGTTTCATGTGTCAGGTTTTGAGAGCAAGGGGCTTAGTATGTCTCTCTCACTTTGGATACAGAAGCAAAAAGTTTGAGACCACTGATTTTTAATTAAAGCAGTAACAATGGAGCAGCAGCTGTGCTTGAAGTGGCTTTGCTTTGTCAGGACGAGTACTTTGGTCCTGCATGTAAAAATTCCTAATTATGGTTATAGTAATTTGTTTGTAGGCCCTATTTTAGCAAGTCTGGGAAAGTTTCTAGACTGTACTTCTGATTTCTGAAAACATGACTAACATAACTAAAATAATAAAGAAATGTGAGGGAAGAGTGGGGAGTTAGGAAAAATAGGAAATCTTAAGGAAGAAGATTGTAGCAAATTTTAACTTTAACAAACAAATAAAAAGCAAGATAATTTATAAAATCTATAAAGTGGGAATAAGATATCTTAAAGTATTTCATGAGGGTTAAATGAAATAATATTTACAAATTACTTAGCTCAGTGCCTGCAACATAGTGAATCTTTAGTAACTATTACCTGTAAGTGTAAATTGGATGATGTGTGTAGTCAGTTGTTCTATGTCCTTACTAGCACATTTTAGCAGACTATTGTTGCTTTTTCTTCCTCTGTAAATATCCTCTGGAAAGCCACACTTCACTGAGTTCCATGCATTGGAAGGTCATTTGAAAGAGAGAAGGGCCTGGAGGGTATTGCATATCTTGTTATTATTGTTTCTTCTCACTGTTTACTGTATCTCCTCTTATTACCACGTTTTTCACTAACTTCTGCAAAATGAAACCAGTAATGATGGCTGGGCTTCTGGTAATTCAGTAGTGGAGAAAATCAAGATAAAGTACAAAATAATGGTACATTAAGTTTTTCATTATTTTGACATTTTTTTTCTTGGGTTAACAACCACAAATATTATTTGTTTTGAAGAAAATGAATGAGTAAAGGGAATAATTATATAATATGAAAATTTTATGACAATTTGAAATTTGAGAAAGCATGATTTTCCCCCCATTTATTTTAGGGTGATGAAATGAAGAAATTGGGAATACAGCCTATTCCTATGATGGACAGAGACAAGAAGGATGAAGTCCCACAAGGCCAGGTATGAATTATTAAAGTAAATTGTAATTGCTTAAGTCAAATAGTTTAAGGTGGGCATCAAATCATACATGATTGGAAAGCATATGTCATCTTATAATATGTTAAGGATAGTCGAGGTAGGTCTGGTGATTAATATAGAAACTTTAGAAATGTACCTTATAGGAGCTGAGAACTAGAAAGAGAACAGCTGTTTACCCTGGAATAATCATGTACTCAGAGGAGCCTTCACTTGCTAAGACACTCAGGAAAGTAGACTCTAAAAGAGTTTATACTTTTAATCTGGGTTTGGCCACCACCTCCAAGCACTGATTCTGTTCCCAAGGCTAAAAGCCCAGAGAGAAATCCCGAGGGTTCGGCTGCCTTGTGGCCTGGAGAGACTTAGTGCTCAGGGGACACAACCTAGAACCACCAGGAACCTTCTCCATTTAGACAGAGTTTGGGGACAATAAGGCCAACGTTAGGAAATCTCTGTGGATTTAAAGAATTCATCCTGCCTTTGCCGTGACTCCTTTCTACAGCTGCCGTTACAGTCAATACGCTTGCTTTTCTGACTTGAAGTAGAGTGGGTGGATGAATTTGGGTTGTTATATTTTTAACAAGCAGAAAATATTTTGTCATTGGTTAAACAAAGATATTTTTGGAAAGTTACATTACAGATTTTTATTCAGGTCCATTTTTTTCTGACAAATAATGCTTACTATTTTAGTACATTTTGCGTTTTGTCTCAGCGTAAGTTGACATTAATTATCCTCTTTTCAGGTCTTACTACATAATTTATTTTTTTTCTAATGTTTTCAGAGGTCTTGTTTCTCATTATTTTGCATCTGTGTATGTGTGGCGTAATGTAGTTCTGAGAGTATGATTTTTGTTAACTAATCTTCTAATGGCATAACAAGGAAGTCATGGGCAAATAATTATGATACAGATAAGTTTAGAAAATGTTTCAAAAATCCACAGCATGGTGGCTTTTGATAAGTTCTCAAATTTCCCTACTTTATTTAAAATTAATTCATACAAAATTTAGGCACGTCCACAGCTCACAGAGGGCACCAGCACAACAAAGAGGCTGAATGAATGGGCATTGCCTCCACTCATGCCCCTGTCTAGTTTCTCTGATGGCGTGCTCACTTTTCCTTCTTAATTTGAAAGGGGTCCTGAATACCTATCGTGTTTACTGCAAGTGTATTTTGCAGTTTTTGTCACTTTTTACCACTCTTTATGGAATATTCCCATATATGGAGTCACAGCTGTTAGTCCTTTCTGTTTGGTGTGTGCTTTTCATATTGTATTTGAAAAGTTCTTTCTCACCTTGAGATTAAATATATTTGCCTATATTTTCTTTCGTTACTTTTTTATGACTTTACGTTTGATTTGTTAAGTTGTTTGGAATGTATCTTGTTATGTGATTTAAGATAAGAGATCTAAAATTATTTTCCATCCAAATAGTTAACAGTCATCCCAACAGAATGCATGGGATAGCTGGAAATTTCTCACTGATGCTGTTAGCCTATGAGTTTTATTCTAGTGTTTTTAGTTATGATAATACTTTGTTTTAGAATAGTTTGATTTTCATTTACAGAATAAGAAAGGTTTAAATAAAATTTTCTACAATCAGTTAATATTTTACCAACCATATTGCTTCTAAATAGTCGATTACTGTGAAATTATTTTTTGCCATAATAATGAACTACTCTAATTTCTAATAATGAATATCTTTTCTGGGATCTTCTGCCCCATGACATCTGCTAAATATTAGAATAAAAAGCCTCTGCATAAGCCATAAAGTTAAAAATGGAAATAACACAGGCGCTATTCTAGTAAGAGTGCTGTGACGAAAGACTTTATAACAGGAGAAAGCAAGAAGGAGCCACGTAAATTAGAGCCTTCTGTATGCTTCAGTGCACCTCAGTGAAGTCCAGCATTTTAGAGAAATCGGTGAGCTGTGGTCACCGATTGGGGGTCACCTCGTCTAGAGAGCTCATTTTATCTTGTACATGCTGCAGCCACTTGGCCAGCGACTTATGACTCGACAATCTGTGTTCTCTGGCTAATTGTCGTGTATCTTTTACATCAGGCCTTCAGTAGGCCGGTCTGAGGTAGTGTCATTTATTTACATGGTGACCCAGAATTCCTAATAAAATTGTTTAAAGTACTACAGATTTTAAAACTTTGAAATCTGATATATTCAAAGAACAATAATTGGAAAGAGCGATGATAAAACCAATGACATTTATTTTAATTCAAATAAGAGGGCAGGAAGGATGAATAAAATATTGGGAGACCACACAAGGCACCGAAGCTAAGTGTAGCAGCCGGGCAGAACGCACTGCGGTCAGCCTGAGCCCGAGGGCGGAAGGAGCCATGTGCGCGGAGCAATAGCAGGCTGCGCGCTCCAGTGTCCGCAAGAAAGCACCGAGGGCACCGGAGACAAGCACAGACCTTGAGTAGCCACTGGCCGATCTATTAGCAGAATGTCAGTTAATGTACTTGGGTCTTAGACTTCAACAGGTATTAACTTTTGTAATATGTTTTGAATCGTTACGTGTTTTATTTCTAGAATGCATTTTAAAAAACGCTCTTTAATACTATTCATGGAACCCAAATATCACGTACAGCAAAACTAGAACATTTAATCTTATAATTCGGCTTCAGAAACAGAACATTCACTTAAGAAATAGAAGTATCACTAGAATCGCTAATGTGCACTTTTGTTTCTTGTCGGTGGTTTTTGCACGGAGGCAGCTTGGGTTCTACAATGCCGTAGCCATTCCCTGCTATACCACCCTCACCCAGATCCTGCCTCCCACGGAGCCTCTCCTTAAAGCATGCAGGTATGTATAATGGTTGAAGCTGTACGGATATTTTTCTAAAGCCCTGAGATCTGTACCGGATTGTTTTACTCCATCGGTGTGTTGTGGACTGTGTGTCTGTCGAGGTGTCGAGTTGTTGTGCTCAGGGGCTCGGGGGCCTCCTTACCTGGCTTCCGCAGGGGTGCGACTTATTCCCTTTGCTTTGATTCTCCTCAAAGATGAGCCTCAGCCACCTTGGGTGCTCGGGCAGCTCCTTCTGTCTGCACTCTGAAGAGAGGGACAGTGGGAACAGGCTGGGGGCTGGGGCCAGACATAGTCAGGACCCAGATGACCAAGTGACTGGGAGGGTCTCTGCCTCAGTATGGGGGACCCTTCCTGCTTTCTTACACCTACGTTCAGTCAGGGTGGGGTACTAGTTGTTTCTTTCAGAAAGGGAGTTTGTGCGCTCCGTGCAATGCCAGCTTGGTTTCAGGCCTTACTAGAGCTGCATCTGTGCTGAGGGGACCTTGTCACTGGAGGTCCTCAGACCTGGGATAGAAGGGCCTTGGCTGGGGTGCCTCATTCTATGAAGTGACAGATGGAGTGGGTCCTGCAAGAGGAAGAGGGCGCCCCCCTCTTCCTGACTCTGCCAGCCTCAGTATGTCCCTGCAGTACACTATGCATCTGTGAAGAGTGTCTATTCATATAAAGTCCTTCAGACACCAAAAAGGAGGAAAATGTTTTTATGATTATTTTGCGGAGGACCCGTCTATTCAGGATGCTGTGCAGGAAGAGGCTGACTAAATCACACAGATTCTTGTTTAATGGAAGAAGGGGACCTTAAGTGGATAACCCCTTCCTCTTTAAGTCTTTTTTTTTCCTTCCAAAAAGACATTTAAGCCATCTGTTATTTTCTAGATTCATATTTCTCCCTATTCCTTCCTCCTTTTTAAGAGTGAACTCAGTTAAGAACCTTGGATAGTTTTAAAGATTTTCACTTTACTTTATGAATTCCCTCTGAGGAAGTCAAAGGGTGATAGCCAGCAGCTGTGCATGTGAGTCCTTTCCAGGTGAATTGGCTCGGGGCCATGTTTTAACTTCTTAGCCACAGCTGTGCCTAGGCGGAGTGGAGTGCAGGCACTGTGGGAGAGCGGAGGACAGACGCTGGCCAGGGAGTTTTACACAAAACCAGAAACTTAATATACTCTTAATTTCTGCTGTTGAAACATTTTTTTTTTACATTTTTCAAGGAAAACAAACAAGACCAATAAGCAATATTAAAAAGTTTATATATACAGTATTCAAGAGATGGCTTCTCCTTCCTCCCTGCTTCTGTGGAGATGAATGTAGCATCCCACCTTGTTTTGTTGAGCCTTAATTGACTTTAATCCCTGGTTCATTTATTAATGTCTTAACATACTACAAAGGCCTAAGTCATAATGGGAAATATAGGGTGTGAGGCCAGATGATACTTGAGAGAATTCTGTTATAAAAGTGTGTACAGAATTAAAGAGAAAGTGGAATATCAATGTAAATTCCAAGATGTTTAAAAAAACTAGGCAATCTTCAAAAGTCCTTTCTGTTGAGAAATCCTGTGTGTTTTACGCCAGGTATTTGGAAGCCAGGGCATGAGTGCTGACTGTGCATGCCCAGCACTGCAGGGAGCTGTGGAGGCGCCTTCCCAGTGGAGCTCTGAGAACAGTGTCCACTGTGTGGAAAGCTCCGCCACACTCCTGCTGCAGTACACTTGGCTGGACCACAGAATCTCTTCACGGCCATTTGAATCTTATTAACACTTAAAAAGTTTATGATGTATCATTGGTGTTCAAGGAAACATACCAAAATTAGTGTATGGCTTTTTCCAATACATCAGAAAGTTTCTAGGGTCTGGAAAAATGATATTTGATGATAGGTTACAAAGGTTAAACGGGCCATACTTTTCAGTTATATTTTAGGGTTTTGTCTATCTGAATGTGGCTTAGCCTGTTTGCTAAAATAAATTTGAGAGAATTTTGAAACTGTGCCTCATAGGAGTTTTGTGTTTGCCAGTGCCAGGATTCCCTTGTGACTTTACACCTGAAAGTGGCTAAGAGCCCTGCCGGGGTAGCCTTGTGGAGTCAGATGGTTGTGCAGTGGTTGTGATCACGCAGTTAGAGATGACAGTGCCCGTGACACCTGAACTACAGACACCGCAAGAGAAAGAGGAGAGGACTAGAGACGTGAGGCTGCCTTGGGTGAGGCGTTAGCAGAGCACAAGCACAGTTTTACTGTAAAAAGAAAATTTCAAAGTTTGTGCCAGGCATAACTTAGGATGACTTTATATATGACACAGTGTTCAGAATAAGAACCAGGGTAAGGTGAGGAGGTTAGAGCCCTCCAGGGAGACACGCTCTTGGCACTTCTCAGTAGGAAGGTCCGTGTTGTCACCGAGTATTCCACCTGCTGTGGCATCTCCTCCTTTCCAGACCCTGCAGATTCCTCAGAAGTACACCCTAGGGCTCTTTCCCTGTACAAGGTCATCCTTCTTACTAAGAAAGGATGTACGCTCAGCCTTAGCATTGCTGCTGCTCTTGCAGGCCACAGCAGGTGAGCCAAGATGCCCCTGACCCCCTGCTGCCGCTGAGTCTCTTTCCTGAGCAGCCGTCACAAGAGCCCACCTGGCCGTGTCACACTAGTGACCATCAGCCGTCAGAGGGCCTCACAAAATACCGCTGTGCAGAGCTATGGCACAGAGCTGTTTGGTTAGTTTTCAAGACAAAGTCCAGAACTCCTTTAATAAGCTTCACCTGAAACTGCATCTTTGATCCCTAGGGATAATCTCAGTCAGTGGGAAAAAGTGATTCGAGGGGAGGAGACTGCAACTTGGATTTCATCCCCCTCCGTGGCTCAGAAGGCAGCTGCATGTGAAGACTGAGCCCTGATCACGCACAGATTCTCATCTTGCTTCTTTGACATTTTTTCCTTTTCTTGGGGGGGGGGTGGGGGGCACCTACACCTGGTAACTGGGGTGCAGACCTCTTCGAGAAGGTAACATCAAATAAATAAGTCAAGCAAAGGACTTCCTGCCAGTCTCCTCTGTGAGGCATCATAGACACTGAACAACCAGGACCACCCCATGTTCAGAAATCAGCTGGCCAAGTGACTCCATTTGACTTGCAAACCAGCCTTTTCTAATAGGCTGATATTGCTGAGGCCTTAATGGAAATGGACAAAAATTCTTCAGAAGGGGTACTTTTCCATTGTATCTTTCTAATAAGGAGTGAAAATGGTACTATTATGGTATTGTACTTGGGCTCTGACATCAATGTTGTTTTGATGTTGTTGGTTATAAATAGGAATTTTTACACATTACTATCGTGAATGTTCATGTGTGACCTACTTGTAATTAACTTGAGTTGTAGTCTACAGCCTCAGGACAAATGTCCTTGAGGTTACAGAGTAAGCAGCGATGAGAAAACGTCAAATTCTTTTTTCAGAGCTTCATGAATTTAGTTAGACAGACTAAACATATTCTTTTAAGTTCAAACTAAAGGGCTGAGATGAATAAATTTAACACTAAAAGAAGTAGACCTTAAGAGATGAGGTATATGTTACAACAAATCTCAGAACTTCAAGTATCAGTTCAAAAGATGACAATTTTTAAATTTTTTTTCATTGATGTCTTGGCAATTTTACTGAACCCTTTGCATAAAGAACAAAATAAAAGCAAGGCATTGTCAATTTTTTTAACAGACAACTCTTATGGATATAAAGTGTAAATTTTTCATAATGATTTCTTTATATTTTCACTTTGTGTCATTGCAGAATTTTAGACTCATATTCACAATGAAATGTTTATTCGTAACATTGTTTAATTAAAGTACCATACTTTTCTTTTTTAAACATCAAACCATAAAATGTGTCTTTTGTGATTTTACTTTGACCTGCTGCATTCACCTCTCATTTATCTCTTTCGACATGCTGCATGGTCATATTTCATGAGCTTTCTGTCCATAGCACAGAAACAGAAGCAGGAAGTAGTACAATCATGTTGGACCTTCTTTCCGTTCTCTTTACTCTTCTCACAGATCAAATCACTCCATAGAAACCTGTGGTTTCTTCTATATGGCTTTTTGGTTGACTAGTATTACTATACAATGTAAGTGTTTCGAACAATACAAAAGTAATACTCTGCACCCCTTCCTACGGAGATTATAAGGTAGTCACTTCTGGTGCATATTAATACTTCAAAGATTTTTAGCGCAATGGCACAGCAACCTCCAACCCTGTTCTAACCTGAAGGAATCAGACAGAGACTCACTCAGGAAGTGACAGGCCAATCATAACAGATAACTTACTCACTTTTCACGTGGCAGGAAACTGGAATATCACTTTTATTAAAATAAAATTGAAAAAATGCTTCTACATATTTAATACCATAGGCATTTTGTTCAGATGAGCCTGGTTTGTGCAAGATTAAATCAGAGGCTTCTACAACATGGTTTATTTATGCCGTAGCAGAGTTGGCTCTACATAAGCACTGTTCTTATTTTAAAATTAACACTATGTGTTCAGTTTTCTTCTGGGCTTCTGAAAGTTGCCATCTTCCCTACATGGAACTCCATTTGCTATTTTAATTATACACTATGACATAAAATGTAATAACTAAAGAAAGAGAAATACCACTGTGGCTAGATGTGTACACACACACATATATATATGGAAGGATGTAATATATGTAGAACACACACATACATGTATATAGGATGCACACTCATATGTATGTAGACATATACATACGTGTATATATGATACACACATGAGACAAGGAAAGAGAGGAAGAGAGAAGCAAAAATGTCGGAAAAAATATAAATCAACCAGTTCTTCCATTCCTTAAAAACAATGACTTTGCTTGATGGAAAATACATATTACTTGTTAGTTGACAAGAAAGTGTCATTTTTTGTTAGTGTATTCATATTGAATTTGAAAAAGTTACATATTTTTCTGCATATAAATTTATGAAGCTGGATTCTACGAAAAACAACTTAATTCACAAAAGTTAATTTGGTCATCTAATTTAACTTGGGAAAGGATATGTTATTTAATATTATTGTTTAATTACAAAAATTTTAAAAGAATATATGAATTCTGTTTTTTAACATAGAAAATAATTATGGAGTTAGGGCTCTGATGGCTACTTTTATAGTTTTAGGTGATTATTACAGAAAATTCTCTTAATTTATTATAGGCAAGTGTATTATGTAATCTCTATTTTGAACAGTTTCCCAAAGGAATGTGATTGGATTTACTGGTTGGTTAATTTCTTGTGAAATATTGTCATAATAGAAGCACAGCTTGAATGAAAGACTGTATTTTGATATAAACTGTCAATATTGCTTTTACCATGTGTAAGATTTACTTAATAATCACAGATGTACGTAAAATAAAGGGACCCAGGATGCAGTAATATTTAGTTAATAATTTGTTTTGAAAAACATGCAGTTAGGAATATTTTTGTATTTTGTCTGATGTGTTTAGCAGACAAACATCTGAGTTATATTTCTTGTCTTTTTCCCAGATCTTTTCTTAAAAGAAAAATATGACACCAGAAGCCAAGAGATAGTTTTTACTAACAACAGTTTTGATGAGTTCTTATTAAGGTCATATTGTGTATTGTGGCAAATTTTCCACCTAGTGTAAATTTAGTAACCAGCTACGAGGATATGCAGGATATTAAGTTTGCAGAAATTTATATTGGCTACATTTATTTGTAATAGACAAGTTTTATAGTCATATGCAATTATTCCATTATCTTTTGGACATAGCAAATATGGTTTTTAGCTAAAAATGTCCTTGGAAACATAAATGCCTGCCAATAACATGAAATATTGAATTCAGGCAATGTGAATTAATTAATTAGAAAAAGGTCAAAGGAAATGCAATGGATGTGGAAGCTAATTCTGAAAAACAGCCCTATTACTAGGGCAGGGACTCTGATCCATTTCCCACCTGTGCTTCTCTCTAAGAGGTGTATGAAAAACCCATCTTGCAAAATAGACCAAAATATTAGAGACAGTTGTTCCTATTCCTGACTCTTCAATGGAAGGAAGGTACAGATGTTTACAGGGGTGCCCCACATGACTTGTTCTCACCACAACAAAAGCAATGAATTGGAAACTAGATTTGTTCAGTATAGGTTTCCTCTTTTTTGGCATGCTTTTTAGATTTTTTTTCATTTTGTAAAATCTCAGTTAATTTTTCTTTACTGATATATTCGTGTATACGAGACATGTTTGTACATGATATAAATAGATGCACAAATCCTTAGATACCTGGTTTTTTTTTTTTTTAATAGGTTTAGGTTTGGGTATTGTGTTTCTGGTCTTTTAACTCAAAATTAAGGTTTGAGCTTTAATAGGACTAAATTATTCACCATGCCTTGGCCTGTGCCTTTATTTTAAATACTGCAATTTTACTACTTCATTCTTGTATTTATTATTTTGCTTTTCTTGCTTAACTGTAATTGAAAACATTTATAGGCACTCATCTACAGTTCATTTTATCAAGTTGGATGAATAGGACCGTTCTCTCTTCATCAGATTTCTATCCTTTATTTGACTTCATTGACAAATACCCTGGCGACTATAACCAACGAACTGTTCAGATTCAGTCTTTTCTGCAAGAACTTCAAAGAACTGTGACATTGGTTATGATGTGATTTTGGGGGGTTTCCAGTACCTAAGCATGATTTAGATTTTTAAAATCACTTCTCTCTACATATTTCAAACATATGTTTGCTTTCTACACTTTTTTATTTAGGGTTTAATTCTTTAAAGACTATATTCATATAATCACTATAGTAGATCTCTTCTATTGCAAGTATTGCTCTGATTTTTAAATTACTATAAAATGTAAATCAGCCGAATATGTTGTCTGTTACAGTTTCCCCATGCTTTCAGCGCATGGCTGTGAGATTTTTACATGTGCATAAGTATTTCGCCAATACACATATTGCTGACTTCTTTAGCTATTTATATTACGTTTAAATTAGTAATATCTAATGCAGTGCACACTTTTTTTTGTCTTTTTTACAATGGAATAGTTGGTTGTCTGAAGCATTGGATGCATTTTATATGATAAAAATGGCAAGAAAGATAAGAAAGTGTCAGCAGTGTGCTGGTTCTAAATTAAGAAGATAGAACAAAGAGAAAGACATTAATGTTACGCAAGAAACACATGTAACATCCAAAGAAGCAATGCTGTCCTCACTTATGTTTCTCTTCTCAACCCAGCAATGGAGAGCAGGGCTTGCGAAGCCATGGAGAGCCCGCCTGCCCCTTCCTGCCAGTGGGAGAAAAGTAACCAATGGCAAGAAGAGCCAGGCATGGCCCTGTGGGGCGAAGGCTAATGTCACCTCAGGACCAAGGTGGAAACTTACAGCTGAATCCAGGGTTGCTAAGTAGGGAAGTCAGTTTACACATTTCAGTTTTTATCTGATATTTTTGAGGTACTGCATATTTGTGAAAGTTTAAGTAGAAAGGTTTTGTTTCTATTGCAAGTTCTAAAAGTATTATCTAATACTCTAGCCCAACTAAAATATTACATCATGGGCGTTACAGCCTTCGTCTTTTTCTTTGGTCACCTTAATACCCAGTCCTATGCTGTATCACAAATAGCCTATGTAAGTGACATATAGGAATATTATTTTCCATATGATCTGTTGTATGGTGTATATGCTATGTGTTCATTTCGTGTGCAAGCTGAGTGCAATAGACTTACCCAGAGAAGGTGTTTGTATATTAGACCCCTACCTATTTGAAATTACATGCTTGCCCAACACACTGTGAAATAGTTACCAAAATTTGTACAAATGAAGCACTGTCATTCTTTCTGAGAAGACAAAACGGCTTTCTTTACATGAACATATGAACAAGAGAGATCCTAGGTCTATACGTAGCTAAGGCATCTAAGAGTTTGCTGTTGATAATCTTGCTGACCAAAAGCTGTTGGAGAGTAATACAGATTACACACCATCAAAAATACAGTGCTCATAAAGAAACGGCTTGTAAAGTCAATGAACCTGTGTCCAGAATTTTAGTAGGCTCTCTGTTGGAAGGAGAAAGAATTTCAAGTTAACAGTATCTAACTTTATCATAGTTGATAAGTTAGTAAATTTTAAAAAATGATTTTGTATGTATGACAAAAATCTTTGTAAAATGCGCAAGTGCAATAATTTAAAGAGGTCTTAACTTTGCATTTATAAATTATAAATATTGTACATGTGTGTAATTTTTTCATGTATTCATTTGCAGTCTTTGTATTTAAAAAAACATTTACTGTTACGTTTGTATAATAGAACAGTAATCATTTATTATAATCTAGGCAAGTTGTAAATAAATTCATAATTCAAACAGCCAGTATATATGCATATATGAGTGTTATATTGCAAAATCTTTGTTTTACTTACATGGTTAGAACAACAAGAATTCTTTTGTTGATATGTAATTATACACATAACATATATATATGTATGATACATGAAATATATTTAGAAATGTTCATAATTTTAATGGATATCCTTTGGTGTGAATAATTGAATACAGTTTTTTAAATATCATCTTTCACGTATATCATTTGCTCATTTTTGGGGACGATGACAGACATTTCACAAAAGATCATTTGAAAACACTCCAGGCCTTGTTTGCCTAGAAAGCACCAAGTGTACATTGAATTAATGTGTTTTGTTTGCTTCATTCATTTTCTAGCAGATAGCACAAGACAACATCAAATATTAAATGTTGTATGATGACTTGCTAACTCGAAGTCCATTCTGTAATTTTAAAGGTTCAGATACTGTGTAGGGAGTCCCTGGTGCTGCAGTGATGGCTTCAGATTATGGAGCCAGCAGCACGGAGTGCTGACCCGCAGGCTTCCCAGGGAACTTCCCTGGCCCTCAGAGTCTTTCTAGCAACAATGCAAATGCACACTCACTGAAAACACACCCTTGTGAAAAGAGAAGTGCTGGGCAAAACACAGTGGTGCATGTGTGTTTATGTGTATGTGTTTGGATTCTTTCTGCTATGGGAAGGAACGCATTCAGGGCTGAAACTTCACATACTGTGTACACAGTGATAAGTATACTCATGGTTTTATCTTTAAAACTCTGGATAGGCCAGACGCAATGCCTTATGCCTGTAATGCCAGCACCTTGGGAGGCCGAGGTGGGCTGATCACAAGGTCAAGAGATTGAGACCATCCTGGCCAACATGGTGAAACCCGATCTCTGCTAAAAATACAAAAATTAGCTGGGCGTGGTGGTGCATGCCTGTAGTCCCATCTATTTGGGAGGCTGAGGCAGGAGAATCGCTTGAACCCAGGAGGCAGATGTTGCAGTGAGCTGAGACGGTGCCACTGCACTCCAGCCTGGTGAGAGTGAGATTCTGTCTCAAAAAAAAAAAAAAAAAAAAAACACTTGGTAAAGAAAAATATGTTTTTATTTTGACTATCTCTGCTTGCCATCAGATGAGCAGACAAATGATAAATATGTAAGATCAAAAAGTTAAATTTTATCCCTGGATCCTCCCTAACCTTAAACATATTAGAGGTAAATATGAGAGGTTTTTGTTTGTTTTTTTAAGAGAGCTTAAATATATGAATGTCCACAGCCTTGTGAATTAGAAGGAAAAGGAAATCTCCAGTATCAAACTCTTACTAACGGAATGCCCTCTGTATGCATAGCACTATACATATGGTAGACAAGATTTTTGTAAATATTCATTCCCTGCAAAACAATAAAATGCTGTGCTGAAAAATAAATTTCCTGAGCTAATACATACGTAACATTAGTAATGCAAGCTGCAGATTGGCCCTCTGTAAAGCTGATCCGAATCTGAATCCTCATCATAACTATGCATACCTTTGATTTTTCCATCAACTGTAATGCAACAGTGTGGAGGAGAGTAACATTTCTCCATCACACGTATTTCCTAATGCAAGAAGAATCCCCAGAAGCAACACTTATCACACAAAAGCCCACGATTGATGCCATTCTCATAAGAGAAACTAAGCTTGATGAGACAAACCAAACAGAAGCATGCCCCTACATGTCTGCAGCTTTCTCCTCTCCCATGTCCTTCACCCACTATCAAAGACGCCTTCCACGGCAGAGCTAGATGTTTCCTCGGCAGTGAAGAGCAACAGATTGTGACTAGAAAATCAGGAATTTATTTGAAATAACAACTTCCAAATTCTTAGCTGGCAATTGTATATATTCAGATAGTGTCTAGCTTTTTTTGTGATGTCTATGTCACTAATTAGAACTCTTGCTCAAAAGGATGACCTTGGAGCATGGTAAGTAGTCATTAAAAAGAAAATAGATTCAAACATTTTAACATGCAGAATGACTAAGGTACACAAACATACTCGTATGTATATTCATATATATTAAGAAAACATTTACCTGCTTTGCTTTGCATTATCTAAAAAAAGCCAAATATCAGACCACCATGTTTCCTAAGTCCCCTGCATAACTGGATTATGCCTGTGAAATCAGGAATGTTAGGGGTTGGACTTAGAAGTCGTGGGCACAGCCTCCCATCAGCCAATGCAAAATTCCTTACTTACCATTTCTAATTGATGCTCATTCAACAAGCCATTCCTCAATTGGATAACATTCTACCATGATTGAACCCAGACCACTGGTTGACAGCTGTAGTTGCCAGGAAGTTCTGTCCAAAGTTGGGCTGAAATGTGTTGCTTTATGATTTCTACTCCAACACACTAGTTCTGAGCTTGCAGCCACACAGAGAAGTCTACTTCCTTTGCACCTGACAATCTTCCAGTTAATTGAAGAAGGCTATCATGCCTCCTCCTGCTCAACCTCATCGTTTTTAATTGCTTTAAAATGCAAGTTGGCTAAGGCACCTGTGATATTCTTGACATGCTCCCCTGAGAAAACTGGCAGAAGCCTTCTACTGGGTCCTTCCTTACTACAAAATAACACATTGCTAAAGTGCCTCAGCTGGGACTCGGGTGACCTCCTACCTCCCATGGCCTGTGGCTCAATCCTGGAAAAGTCACACCATTCCTTGAGCATCCCATGTCCTTTAGAGTATGTCACGTACAATTCTCATGGGAGATAGGCGACCTCTTGCCTCCCATGGCCTGTGGCTCAATCCTGGGGAATTCACATTTCTTGAGCTGTGAGGTATACCCCACCCAGGTAGTAATAGAGGTTAACATCTATTAAGCACTTACTATTTGCAGACCCTCTTGAGTTCTACTCATCCCAGCTCAATCTCACAACAGTTCTATGAATTATATATATTAATGTCCCTCTTTTAAAAATCAAAAAAATGAAAGGCTGAGAGGTTCAGTAGCTGGTAAATGAGGATTTAGGGGTATGTACCCCAGCCCACTGAGGCTCTGAGAGTTCATGTGTCAACTCCCTGCTATCCTGAAATGTGTCTTGCTTCAGTGCCTGTTTGTAAAGGTTGCATCTTTACTAAAGTAAGGCACGTAAAACATTGGTTATCAAGCATGGAGTTCCTCATGAGCAATGCTCCTCTTCACTCCTTGCCTGGATGACTGCCAGCACAGGAAGTCAAAGAGAAAGAAACAAACAGCATTCCACTTTTCCTTCTCAAAATACGATTTGCAAATTCACAGTAGATGAAGTTTTGGGAGAAGTTTTCATGAGTATTTACAAGCTAACAATCTGGCTTAAGATATTTTTACGAGCCCCCAGCACTGAGGGTTGCCTGAATTGAGGCAACCTTTCTTTGAGAAAGAAGGCAATTCACAACAGGCTGTCTTAAAGAAGAGGCCCAGCCCTGCTCTCACCCAAAGTGTGAACTGTGGGGACAGAAGAGCAAGGCAGAAAACCCCCAGCACAGGTGCACAGACTCTATCCCAGAGGGCCCTTGTCCCTGTATTTGTTCTACAGCCATTGGTGTGCTGTATTCAGGAGATGCATCTCATGTGCAAAGACACACATAGGTTCAAAATAAAGGGATGGAGAAAGATTTACCAAGAAAATGGAGAATAAAAAAAGCAGGGGTTGCAATCCTAGTCTCTAGTAAAACAGACTTTACACCAATAAAGATCAAAAGAGACAAAGAAGGGCATTACATAATGGTAAAGGGATCAATGCAACAAGAAGAGCTAACTATTCTAAATATATATGCACCCGTTGTAGGAGCACGCAGATATATAAAACAAGTTCGTAATGATTTACAAAGAGAATTAGACTCCCACACAATAATAGTGAGAGACTTTTCACACTCCACTGTCAATATTAGACAGATCAACAAGACAGAAAATTAAGAAGGATATCCAGGACTTGAACTCAGATCTGGACCAAGTGGACCTAGTAGACATCTACAGAACTCTCCACCTCAAATGCACAGAATATACATTCTTCTCAGCACCACATTGCACCTACTCTAAAATTGACCATATAATTGGAAGTAAATCACTCCTCAGCAAATGCAAAAGAATGGAAATCATAACAGTCTCTCAGATCACAGTGCAATCAAACTAGAACTCAGGATTAAGTAACTCACATAAAACTGCACTACATGGAAACTGAAAAACCTGCTCCTGAATGAAATAATGAAGGCAGAAATAAAGATGTTCTTCGAAACCAATGAGAATGAAGACATAATGTGTCGGAATCTCTGGGACACATTTAAAACAGTGTCTAGAGGGAAATTTATAGCAATAAATGTCCACATAAGAAGTGAGGAAACATATAAAATGGACACCCAAACCTCACAATTAAAACAACTAGAGGAGCAAGATCAAACAAATTCAAAAGCTAGCAGAATACAAATAAGATCAGAGTAGAACTGAAGGAGATAGAAACACAATAACTCTTCAAAAAATCAATAAGTCCAGGAGCTGGTTTCTTGAAAAGACCAACAAAATAGACCACTAACCAGACTAATAAAAAAGAAAAGAGAGAAGAATTGAATAGATGCAATAAAAAATGATAAAGGGGATATCACCATCGTTTCCACAGAAAACACAAACTCCATCAGATATTACTACAAACATCTCTATGCACATAAACAAGTAAATCTAGAAGAAATGGATAAATTCCTGGACACTTACACCCTCCCAAGACTAACTCAGGAAGACGTTGAATCCCTGAATACACCAAAAACAAGGTCTGAAGTTGAGACAGCAATTAATAGCCTACCAACCAAAAAAAGTCCAGGTCCACATATGTGTACAGCCAAATTCTACCACAGATACAAAGAGGAGCTGGTACCATTCCTTCTGAAACTATTTCAAACAATATAAAAAAAGGGAATAACCCCTAACTAATTTTATGAGAGCAACATCATCCTGATACCAAAACCTGGCAGAGACGCAACTGAAAAAGAAAATTTCTGGCCAATATCCATGATGAACATTG